ATGTAATGAATAAAGCGGTCAAAAAAGTGCTTATGATAGCCAAGAGGTGGCGTTAAGAGTGCTATAGACGTTAGGAAACTGAAGGGTCAGTCAAACGGCCATTAATGCAGTGTATTGTGTGTCTGCTTGCGATCAACGACTGCCTCAACACTACCCGTACGCACCCCTACTCTGATAGTCGCAGCACTGAATACAACGCTATCATAAGCGACACAAAAGCGTGCATTCATTGCATTCAAAGCCAATACACATTCAATACATTGCTTTAGCCGGCGATCTGTCCATCCGTTTCGCACTATTGTCCACTCAGTTGTCATTTGCGGCCACTTTTATACCCGTTTCGCGACACTAACGACACGTTATAATGCAGTCGACGGGAACTGAAGGCGACGGTATGCCTACATTCAAGGTATGTCTCGCTGTGTGACCATTGAGTGACCACATTATCTAATCGCTTGATTACCACCCGATGTATGTCTTGGGCACCCGTAGTGTGTTCTGGTTGGCGACGGCGGCACCGGTAAGACAACGTTCGTGAAGAGACATCTGACCGGAGAGTTCGAGAAGAAATATGTCGGTATGTATTGTGTGTCTGTTTTGGTGCCCATACTTTCCCTCCCATTTGACGCCATTTGATTTGAACTGTGTTTTGATTTCACGTGTTGTGTCCACCACTTTAGCCACACTGGGAGTCGAAGTACATCCGCTCGTATTCCACACAAATCGAGGTCCGATTCGGTTCAACGTGTGGGACACCGCCGGTCAGGAGAAGTTCGGCGGCTTAAGGGATGGCTATTATATTCAGGGTATGTTATGCTCACCACTCATCCTATTGTCCATTGACTGACACGTGTGTTGACCCGTAGGCCAGTGCGCTATCATAATGTTTGACGTGACCTCTCGGGTGACGTACAAGAATGTGCCGAACTGGCACCGGGATCTGGTCCGCGTCTGCGAAAACATACCCATTGTTTTGTGCGGCAATAAAGTCGACATCAAAGATAGGAAAGTGAAGGCAAAGTCTATTGTGTTTCACCGGAAAAAGAATCTACAGGTAATGCTTGAGTTGCGGACCAGTTGTGCCGTTCAGATGGTGTCCAACACTATCGATATGATGATAAATTGTCAATTGTGTGTCTGAACACGTGATTACAATTGTCCCTCTAAACTGAATACCAATCATAACTGCCTTTAAGTGGCGGTATATATAACACTAGAACTAACGGCTGTTTCCCTCTCCCTGTCCTCCAGTACTACGACATTAGCGCCAAAAGTAATTACAACTTCGAGAAGCCGTTCCTATGGTTGGCCCGAAAGCTGATCGGAGACCCGAATCTGGAGTTCGTGGCGATGCCAGCGTTGGCGCCGCCGGAGGTGACAATGGATCCCGCGTGGCAGAAGAAGCTCGAAGAGGACATGATTCAGGCACAGAACACATCACTTCCCGATGACGACGACGAAGACCTTTAATACCACAAGAGTTTTTGTTTTTTCTATTCCTTTAAACTGATTATTATTATTATAAATATACAGATAAACACATAAACACCGCTATTATTAATATTATTATTACGAAAAACATCTCGATTTAAGTGTTTTCTTCAAATAATACCAAAATTTAAACTTTATTTTTGGAAAAAACAAAATTTTCGTCTTATTTTTTAACGTCTCTTCCGTTTGTTTCGCAATTTGATTGCATTATAACGAAGAGATGGTCCGTCTCTTTCACTCTGTTTTTTATTATTAAAACAAATCTGTAATTAATTGTAAGATTGAATGAATGAATGAATTTTCTTATTTTGTTTGTTTTCTCACTTCAATTGATATTTTCAAAACCAAATGTCATTTTTAAATAGTTTTTAATAACAAATTAAATTTCGTTGTCATCTCTTAAATACATAATGAAAATCACAAAAACAATGATTGCTTAAAATCTTGCGCTCCGTTTCCTTCCCGTGTATTTCGTGTCATTCCTCACGTGCTTTCCCTGTCGTCGTCGCCTCTCCTTCTTGTCGAGTATCCATTGGCGGGACTTTTTGGGCGCTTTTGTCGGTCGTCCGCGACTGTCGGTCACGTCTCGACGGCTACTGTAAGGAACAGTATTATCCGATTCTTCGGTCAGACCTTTGGGCAGCTGTTGAGCGGAACCGCCGGTAAACAAAACCAAAAACATTTTCTTGGCTTTCGTACTGTTGGGGAAGTCAACGACGAGACCACCGGTAAAGCCGGCTCTCATGGCCTGAGCGGTGATCAGTTCCACTTGAGAGCCGTTTTCGGGATAAAACTGAAAGACTGCGCGACTGTTGCGCGACAGACACGAGTAGAGGCTCGAGAAGAAACGGTACAGACGTTGAACCGGCGAGTGATTGGTTTTGTCCGCATTGCACAGCCATTGGATGCACGATATACTGATGGCGCCGTCGAAAGAACCGGCTCTGAAGGGCACCCCTTCTCCCAAATCAGACAACAATATATCTCCCGATTCGGGTTCACGGCTTCGGCACACGTTAAGCATCGCTCGACTGATGTCCAAACCGATCCACGTGTGGCCCATATCTTCCAACACTTGCCCACTAAGACCTGATCCGCACCTGTAAAGCGACGTTTCGTAAATCAATTGACTGTCCCTTCAATAAGTGGGCCAACGATTGTGTGGCCATTGAGTGCAACAAACCCTAAGTCGAGTATAAGTTTGGGTTCGTCTTCTGGAAGTGCCATCAATTCAATCGCTCGTTCACTCATCTGCGCCTGAATTGCAATCATTCGGGAACTAAATCAACGATCAATTAGTAAAATACATGACACATGGGATGGCATACGAATCAAGTGATCGCTTACTTTGTCGTGTATTTAATGGCTTCGGTTTCGCTGTAAAACTGTTGGCAAATAAAACATGAGTTTTAGAATCAACTCAAAGACCTAACGATCTGTCACTCGTGTGGCCGTGACTTACGATTTCGGGCGGAGCCGAGTGTTCGGGTCGTCGACTGCTGGCCATCCTTTGGTGTCAACACTACTTCTTATAAACAATTATCGCATTTATAAAGTGGACCACAATTTGTAACATTTGATTGCATGGAAATCACGTGTTTGTGCCATACTTTGCAATGTCATAGCACTTCACGCCTACCCTCTATAATACACTTCACTGCAACTCTCAATTCAATTTCTAATACAGTGTTGTAAAAGAGTTGATTGAATTGGCATTGATTTAACGCAATACAAGTGAATTGGGTTCACAAATCAATCAATCAATCAATCAATCAATCAAACGTCAAACACGTGTTGTATAAAATGTGCCCAAACGGGAAGGCAATGGTAAAAGAGCGGCAATATTACTGTTAACAACAACTTTGTATTTATTGACCAAGTTTACAACTTTGTTAGTATTTAATTCACATCTAGTCTATAGTTTGTAAATTTGAAGTATTTTTAGTTTGAAAAATAATATTTGATGAATACTTAATGAGTTGATACAAAGATTGTATATTTTGACAATTAATTGTATGCTTACAGTCATGTGATACTCAAATAGGACTCAAATAAACACAATTAACGCAAAACCGAATACCAAATAAAAATAGAGACAAAAACATTAAAATTGTTTCACACAATAATAATAATGATTTTATTTAAGAGAAAACAAAAGTTTACTTTTTGTAATGAAATATAATTATCAATGATTTATAGTTTAAAAGGATCTCATAATTATTAAAATATAGGATTAAGTGATGATTGAATGGCATTAAAACGGATTCAAAGCCTGATTACCACTCGTCCTCAAGCGGTGTCTGATCTCCTCCACGATTGGGTGTATTCTGTGTCGGACTAATAGACATCTGAGAGGAGGCGCCGGGAGTGTTGTAAGAGGGCGTCCGCGGCTTAATTTTGGGCTTAACATTGGCCCAGTCGGAGGCCATTTGCCCCCATTGGTTGCCAGAGCGAGAGCCCGGTCTCGGGTTGGACGACGGTATGTGCGACGGCGGACCCATAGATCCCGGAGTGTTTTGCTGGTAATTGCGAGGCGTAGACATGTTATTGGGTGTCATGACAGGTGTCTGCGCGTTGTTTTGGCCGTAATAACCGCCGCGCGAGTGACCGCCGCTTCCACCGAAAGGCGGACCCATCGATGACGAGTGACCAGAGCTGCCGAACGCGGCCGCAGCGCCGCCGAACGATGGCGTCTGACCGGCCACTTGTGACAGAGCGTTAAACACGTGATTAGACATAGAGGCGGCCGCGCGTTGTATGGCCTGCGGGTCGATGTTTGGCGTTCCCGTCGAGTTGATGAACGACGAGCCGCCGGCGGGCGTTCTCAGTGACGGCGTGGCGACCGGCGTTCGCGGGAACGTCGACCGGTCGTTGAAGTGTATCTTAAACCACTTGAATAGAGCGGCCACAGATCGGAACGGCTGCGACCGATAACGATAGCCATCGGGAGTTATACTAATGTATTCGTGAAATGACTTCATATTTGGTTGATATGAGAGCAGGAATTTTCCCGGAAGTTCTATAAGACATATATTGAGTTAATAATGAGATCAATGGCCTAATGATTGGGACAAACCTTTGGAAGCGGTCACGAAATATGGTATCCTTGAGGGCGCCTTCTTCTTCTCCTCCATAAGCATGCGATCCAACTCTTCTTTCTTTCCATCGGAATCCTTAAAGTACTTATAAGACGTCAGATCTCTGGCATATGAGGCCATNCTTTGGAAGCGGTCACGAAATATGGTATCCTTGAGGGCGCCTTCTTCTTCTCCTCCATAAGCATGCGATCCAACTCTTCTTTCTTTCCATCGGAATCCTTAAAGTACTTATAAGACGTCAGATCTCTGGCATATGAGGCCATCGGTTGGACATAACGAGCGATAATTTCGTCCAAATCTTCGTAGGACTCGTTGCCGATGAAGAGCTCGTGACCCAAACTGAATGCGTTGTCTTTGCCCTCTTCGCGGATGTCTATGTGTTGGTGAACGCCGTTATAGACTTTCCACGTGAGCGTCAAGTGGTCGTTGGCTTTGCTGGAGGGCCTGATGATGGTTTCACCCTGGTCAGAGTTGGTCAGCATCTTCTCGGCCTGTTTGTAGTCGATGTTATGAAAGGCCGGATGAACTATAATGCGCTTCACGTACGGCTGCCGACTCTGACGCTTCTTCAGGTTCTCCTCGTGTTGATTGTCTTTGTCCTCCGCCTCGTAGTAGAAGTCGGTATCCCTTTGGGGTCTGAATTGGAAGTTACTGTCGGCCAAGTCTGACGTACGGCACGTCAGGTCAACCAAAAACTTTTCGACCGTAATCTTTAGAATACGGCAGTGAATGGTTTGGTTGATCTGAACCCTCTCGAGCGGGTCGATCACCTCCCGGTCGCTGATAAGACGGGTTTGAATGAGACCCGTGAGGCCGTTGTCGAGGCGCACATGAATGCCGATGGCCTGACCCGGACAACTTTTTGGTTGATCTGAACCCTCTCGAGCGGGTCGATCACCTCCCGATCGCTGATAAGACGGGTTTGAATGAGACCCGTGAGGCCGTTGTCGAGTCGCACATGAATGCCGATGGCCTGACCCGGACAACTGCCGGCGTCGAAGTGGTTCCACACTTCGCTCAACTCCGGGAAATCGCTTTTGTTACAAAACGGACACTTCCAGAGACCCGTCTCGTCGTTACGCACGGGGTTAGCGTTGTCGAGCTGTTCCGACAATGGCTTGCGTCGGGCCACTCGAACCACTTTTCCCAACACTAACTTTCCGATATAGAACGAGTCGTGTGTCTCTCCGGTCAACATCTGGAAGATCTCTTCGGGATTCGCGGTTCGAAAGGGTGTCCTCTGGTCTTTGTATCGGGCGCTCAGTTCAGCCCTAATGTCGTAGAGAGTGATCGACTTGAGACCCATTCCCTGTCGAGTCAGCTCATCGGCGAAGGCGTCCAGATCTAAGTCTTTGAGTTTTTCGGGATTTTCAATGATCTCTTCCAAGGCTTGCGCCGGATTCGTGTCGTTGTCTTCGTCGTACTCGAGGGCGTCGACAGCCATTTTGCGCGCCCACTCGTACGCCTCCGGATGAACGCGTGTACTGTCCAGCACTTCGATGTACGTATCGGTTCCCGAGTCGGCCAACGAAGCGGTGTCTATGCGTATAAAACCGGCGCAATTAATGAACACAATTTTGCCGATATTGCAATTCTGGACCAATTGGGTCCTGTTCTCCAACATCGGTGTTTGTTGCTTCTTCAGCGTACGGATCAGATACGCGCCCTTTCGCGGCCCCAAACCACCGATGAATTGCACCAATTGACTCGTGTGCGGGTGAGTTATCGAGCGGTTGATATCAACGCCCACTTCATTCACGCGATTCACAAACTCCAGGTATAGACTGTTGAGAAGCTCGTCCTTCGGCATGTGTTCCTGCAGTGTATGGTATTTAATACATAGTATCTCCTCGTCTGCGGTGCAGAGCTGCGAGAACTCAATCAACGGGTCCTGTAATCGACGCGCCAATGAGATGGCCCGACGCAAGTGCGGCGGATAGTTGTGAAAGTCGATCAATGCTTTCTTACTGTTCATATAGACAGTGGACACCTCATTGTCCACGTATTCAACCGAAATGAGCGGAAACTGTTCCGTTTCGTTCAGATTCGTCACAACGGCCTTCACGTCGTCCATCACGTATCGGGTGGTCATTGTGTCGCATCCGATGCCTATCACGTGTGGCTTTTTGTTTAATATAAATTTCTTGAGTTTCTCCACGTCTGCGTCCCGTAAGCGTCTCTCCTGATCGGACATCCAGTCGCTCTTCCGAAGCATAAAGTACTCCAATTTGAGATAATCGGTGACCTCTCCGTCGCCGTCAATAATGGCGGCGAACGACGCGTCCTCGTTGTTCGGCACAAACGCCAGACCCATCACTCGTATGCCTTCTCGAGTGTCAAAGTCTTCGTCGTCGTCGAGTTGTACCACATCTGGAGGTATGCTATACGGGGCCACTCGAAGCCATGACGACAATCGCTGTACGCATTGCTAATCATTATTTTAATGATAAATATTTATCGGTTATTCAAATGCTTTATGAATAGAAAATTAATTCAAACAAAGCCTCAGCTTTGAAGTAAACCAATGATTATATAACTCCCGGAATAAACAGTAAATCAATCAATTGTGAGACAAACTGGGAATAAAGGAGTGGTATTTGTTGCCCGTCCTAACACTACCATACAGTTGATCCCAAACAAGTAATACATACGTTTACAATAGTGTCCTGCGCTTCAGTCATCAGTTTAATCTTGAGCTCCTTCTCGAAGGCCGGGTATAGGAATTTGTTGAGCGCTATCTCCAGAGCTCCGGATCGCTGTGCGTTCCACTCCTGGACGTTAATACTAAACTCATCCTATTATAAGACAAAACACACATTCAATTAAAGGTACATCCAATGACGAGTGTATCAATTCTTACTCTATGGTAGAGTTGTCTGATTTCATCAAAGTATTTGTTTTTAGCCACCGGTTGCGAACCAGGATTGGCACCAGTGGTCAGATCCAACTTATCGATCGTGATCTCAAACTCCATGAGTCCCTCAGTCTTGGCGACCATGAGTTGTAGGAATTGGTCGCCACCGAACGTCTTGATGAGTTTGTTAATCAAATACTTATGTATATAACAGGGATGGTTCTCATCGATCTCTTTGATGCCCTTTTTGGTGGGCCGCGCGTGAAGGTGTGCCCTCTCGAAGAATGTCTGGCGCATCGATTTCCGCACAATTGGGTCGCAACTGATCTGTTTGGCGACCATAAAACTCGCCGCCTGTAACACCTTCTCAGGCGTTTGGAACCGATGGCACACGTAATCGTGCGCCGCTTCGAGCGGTTCCACCGGGTATTGTTCCACTTCGTGCCGCTGATAGTTGTCGCGCAAATTCTCGCCAAACTGGTCGGGCGTCAGACCGAATTTGGTCACCAGTCCTATAATGTTGGCCTCTTTACAGATAGTGTATGTGTCCTTCCGTTGCGCCAAACGCATAGACGAGAGCTTAGTGTTCATCTGTTCCTCCTCTTCGGCCAAAATCTTGTCGGCGTCCTCTTCGGCGCTCATCTCATTCAGACGCTGTTGTCTTTCCTTTCGCAACGCCTCTCTCTTCATGTTTGGCACGTCTGCCGAGTAGTACAGCTGGAAGTGTACCCAACAGTCCCGCAACTCTTCAAAATTTGTCACCGAATTGACGCGATGTATGTCTTCGTCATTGATAAGCCGAATGCCTTCGGGCAGAGCGGCGTCGGTGTCTCTCATGATCTGTTCGGTCTGATAGACCTGCATATTGCGGAACAGTTGGTTCAGATTGGCTTTGCGTGTCTGGAGTTGACACCACTTCTCGTCGTACTTATAGATGAGCCACAAGTCGGTGACCGTAAGCTCGGGCTCGACGTACTCTTTGCGATAGTGCGTAATGAACGGCACTTCCAGTAACTCGTTTCGCATGAATCGCAACGCCTCGCGAATCTTACTGACAGCGGTCTTCTGCTTAAAGCCACCGATCGGATCATTCTTTCCCTCTCCGGACTCGTCCTGAATAGAGATGGTGGGGGCGGAGAACACCCCGTTATAGATCCAGTCGGCCTCGTCTATGAGTTCGGGCTCTTCGCACGGCGTGACGGGCACTGACCGCAGTTGGAAGCGTTCCGGTATATCCGCGTTACGGATATCGTTATCTCCTTTTGTTAAGTGACTCCTCTCGAGCTCTGACGGCTCGTAGATCTCGAATATGCTCTTACGGGCCGACCGGCGCTTACGGCCCGCTTTCTTAGTGCGCTCCGAGCGCTGTGTGGCCTCTCCGTCGCCCTCTTCGTACTCATCCATCTCTTCGTCGCCCTCTTCGTCGTACTCTCCGGTCTCTTCGTATTGTTGCACTTCATCGAAGTCAAAGTCCACACCGAAGATGTCCTGCGCCTGTTGTAGCGCCTCATCGGTAAACCTGTGGCTCTTGCGAGCGGAGCGAACGCGCGGTTGTATCGGCCGGTCGTCGTCGTCCACAATGAAGTTGTCTTCGTCCGAGTCGTCCGAATGCTCCGAACCGGACATCTCAGCGAAGCGATCGTCGATAGCCTCGCGATCGCTGCGGTCGCGCCGCACGGCCTGCGCCGGTCGGTCCGCCTCCTCGTCGTTCGCGTCAAACAACTCGTTAGCGATCGCCTCTCTATCGTTCACTTCTTGGGCAACAGTCCTCTCCTCGTCCTCGTCGTCGTCCTCAAGACGTTGGACGCGACGGAACTTCTTCTTCCTCTCTATACGTCGGCCCAAATTCTCTTCGATCAGATCGTAGTCGTCGTCCTCCAGGTCTTCCTCGAGATCCTCTCGCGTCCGCTTCCGTCCCGTCACCTCTTCGTCAGACTCTTCGGGCTCTTCCTCTTCATCGTTGATCAGATCCTTCATCTCATTGCGAAGCCGGTCCTCATCTGAACCAATCATTAACCACATCATCATTCAGTTCCAGTCAATACCATCGATGGTTCGCCGCAACACTTACCGTCTTCTTCCTCTTCCTCCGAGTCTTCAAATTTGGCCCTCTTTTTGGTTTTGATATCATTCCTCACCTCTTCGTCTTCGCTTCCTTCCGACACTTCCGCCTCGTTGTCGAAGAATTGATCCGCCATTTCAGTGATCAATGGAGAGACACAAAACTCAAGAGTTGATCGATGGATGAAAAGGACAAACAAATCACACAATCAATCAATCAATGGCTCAACGATTTCATCACCAAATATAACGACACAATTGTTTTGTGGGCTTTTGTCTGCGACTATGAGCTGATCTCAAGAGTCTATGGATTGGTGTATATAATGAGCGATAAAGTGGTGCTGTATTTGTGGCCAAAGTGTGGCCTCAATTGATCCAAACGTTTGGCAAACGCTATTCAGTCAATCAAACCATACATTCAATGGCTATTCAACGGTACGTCAGGTATGACTCAATTACGTCACTAAATATGCGCTCAAAAGTAATTTGCGTTTTAATGCAAGCATTCGTTTAGCGCTTCACTAGAATTGGGGGACAATTACTTCAATCACACACTCGTTCTGTACGTTATTTATGACTATTTTATACACAAATGACCGGTTGATTGCAAAGTACGTTACGTCACCTCTAATTGTTTAAAACCCTTTCATTATGAATACCCTTTAATATTGATGTATAGAGTAATACAGTAACCTCTAATCGGTGTCCACTCCCACCCCGTTAGCTGTTGTAACGTTGTTTGCGAACAGATTATCACATAATATCGATAAACATTGCGTGAATTGAAAACTCGTTGACATTCTTATGATAATAGCATTGAATGAATGGTTGAATGAATTGTTGATTGCATTGCAAACAGTGTTTTCAGCGTTTGATTGGAGTTAAGGCTTAACTGTAAGGCGTTTTCAATAGTGTTGTTGTGTTTGGTTTGCCATTCAATGCATTCAATGGTCTTATCGTATGATTGAATCAAATCTATTGAATGACTCAAATGAATGGTTGAGATGAAGAAGTGATTACGGGATCCGATCAGCGCTGCCGATGGTATAGTCTCTGTGCGCCCAACAGATCCGTTGAATGGTATCCAATGCTAATACTTCGGCGCCAATACCACAACCTATTGGGAGAACCCATTTGTCTGGATATCCATCGGTTCACTAATTGCTGTCAACTAATGATCACCAAAACTAACCGCAGATGGGATTCACTGCAACTCCTGGCGATGGCCGCCCTCTTCGTCGCCGTCTTCTTCACCGCAAATATCAACAAAATTGTATAAAAACTTGAATATCTGTTACACAACTCGTCCACTAATTGAATGTTTGTCTTTATTTGCGGAACAGTTGGATCGACTGGTGATACTGTCGATGACGATAGTGTTGATGATTGCGTTAGTGTATTGGCGAACGCATGCATATAAAGGTAATGGACATCACATTTAGTGATGATGTGATGATAGCATTGATATGAATTGCATGTGTTATAGAGTCGATCGTATTGTTGGACAACGTGTCTGGTCTGGAGCTGACACAACACTACTCACTACTGGGCGTCCACTGGAAGCGCTCACAATTCATACTGAGCTCCACTATTATCATCAACGAAGCCATTACTATGGTTAGCGTTTGCATGTTTTGTAGTCTTGTATGTTATCACTAAATCTGATCCATTGTTTGCTTGCATTATAGCATCGAGTAATCTATTATTTGGTTTCGATTCCCCTTTCGTTAAGTACTCTCCTATTGAGTGATAATACAAATGAAAGCGATTCTAAGTCACAGACCAGAGAGACCAGAATCGGTGCTCGAAATAGTAATACTTATAATAATAGTAGTAATAATAATATGAACAATAAGTTTAATAATAATAACAATCGACTCATACCTCTGTTCAGCAACACATGTCCGCGAATCGATTGTCTTCGAGTGATGTATCAACACATCAATGATTTCAAAACAAACACCAATCGTGCGATCAATCATAAGACAATCGACGCATCCATTAAATCATTGAATAGTAAATCATCAAAACATTCGTTAACTACTAGTCCTAGAAATGGTTTCACAATTTGTTAAACACTTTTTATTGGAAACTATATTTAAATATATATTATATAAAAGTATGGTTTGTTTGTTATATGGATTTTTAAAACCATAAACTAATTGCCAGTATTTGTCGTCTAAAATATATTGCCGTTAACTATATATACGATTAGCAAAAACTAAACAAAAGTGCATTAAATTTAGTGCTTTAATTGCAAAATGCAAACCGCAGTCATTATATTGTATTACTCGTCACAATCTGTGCCTCAAATGCCGTCAGATTTTTAAAATTATTGTTTGGATTTTGAGTTTAAATTGTTTTTAACTGTTTTCATACCATTCACTCATAATTATTATAATTAAAAGTAATATATAAATATATACATTATATAAACTGTTTTACATATTGACTATCAAATCATAACTTAAAGCTCCGGTCCTTTTTTCAATGCATACATACATTATACCAACAAATAAGTGTTACTTATATTTTAAATAATGTATTTTATCGCTAAATAATATTTATACCAAAAAATATTACTACAAATGAATAAAACCAACACTGGATTCAAAATCAATTAAGGATTAAACCAAAAATATAAAAAATGTTTTTATATTTTACATGTAAATGCAATAATTATAATAAACTATTTTGTATTATTTTGTAAAGTTATTATACCTTTTGGTTAATAATTAAAAGTAATGTTAATTGATATAATATTCACATTTTATTCATTGAATCAATTGTTTTTAAATACATTTCGGATTTACAAGGATATGATGTGTTAACAAAAAACATTTGATTTGATTCATTCAAATCCATTGCGAGTATAATTAGAGAATACAAGTAATATTTAATAATAACAAATCAATTTCTATCATCTAATCTCAACTGTCTTTTTGATCATTTTCTAACGCTTTGCAATTAGACATAAATTATATAAATTGTTTAAAAAAATTAAAAGTTTTCAACAAAACATTGCAAAATTTCAATGAATTAAGTAATAATTATAATAATTAAGTAATAATTGATTGAATGAAAAAATCTAAAAATGAATTTAAGTAAGAAAATAATTGTCGAGCGAATGAGCGTTTTGTTTGAATGGCAAATAAATACCAGACATTAGAGGCTTCTGTGGTAGCGGTGAGTGATCTCTAAGAAGACACCGGGCGATGAGTCCTCAGGTGTTTGTAAAGACCTGATCTCCACGAGTACTTCTTATTGCAGAGATGGCAGATGTGCTCCTTCTGGTCATCGCCGTGGACTCGCTTCATGTGAATGCTTAGAGACGTCGTTTGGGAGAACACTCGGGGACAGAGCGTGCAAGAGATGAGCTGCCCGTTTGAGTTGTCCGGATCCGTTTTGATGGGACGGTGAGTGCTTTGATGAATGGTCATCAGCGGTGTTGTTGTCTCTTCCAATTCTTCGAAGCCTTCGCCAACTCCGAGCATTGCTGTCGAGTTTGGGGTCGACTTCGACTGATTCATCGGCGGTCGGCCTCTTCGTTGGTGTCCTTTCCTAATCAATTGAATCAATAAATTGAGATAAAATGTTAGACAAATTTGTTTAAGAATCCAAACCTTTTTCGGTTTCGACTGACAAACGGTTTGTTAACTCTTCGCGGCATCACTTGAACCGGATTCCGGATCAAACCGCGCGGTTCCATAGCGTCCACCAACTCATCAACCGTATAGTCCTGTGAAGACGTGCCTTTCGGTTTCGACTGACAAACGGTTTATTAACTCTTCGCGGCATCACTTGAACCGGATTCCGGATCAAACCGCGCGGTTCCATAGCGTCCACCAACTCATCAACCGTATAGTCCTGTGAAGACGTGCCTCCATTGGGCTCCAGATCCTCCATATTGTCTTCGTAGTCATTGGACTCGTATTCTACTCGTGGATACATGTCTTCGTCGTCATTGTTCTGAAAAGCATCCGATTCTTGAGACAACTCCTGCGCCTCGAGTGTTGGCATTCCGTCTTCCGTTTCGTAGTCATCATTATAGAGGAGTTCTTGTTTCACTTTTCTAGACATTCGACTCTTATATGTCACTTGAGTTGAAGCGCTTCCAGAGGCGACACTCGGATCAAAGAGTGGCATATCGTCAGTCATAAACTCGTCATCGCTATTGAAGTCTCCGTTAGACAATTGTCTATAGTTTGGTCGCCGAGTATTTCTCAAACTCGTGCGAACGGGTTGTTTGGTCTCAGTATTCGGTGTATTGTTCGGTGTATTCTTTGATTTGCTTTTGGTTTTCTTCGCAGAGATGGGCGACAAGTTTTGTTTCGCTAGTGGTTTACCACCGCTTCCGTTGTCACGACTTTCGGCCTTAATATTAGTCTTCACTGCGGAAGAAGTGGAGACCGAAGAACGTTTAGCTGCTGTGTTGTGAGCGGTCGGCGCCGACACAACAGTTGCCGCCCCTCTCGGCGTCTGACTGTTGGCCACATTAACGACCGCCGCGTTATTGAAATACTTTTCGAGACCTTTGATGAACAGTGTCTGAGCACTCTTGGAGAGTGAGGACACCTGTTCTACGGGGACGACAACTTCGCCGCGGTATAGGAAGTCGACGATCGCCTTCAAGTCCCGGAAAGTCATGTCTTTGATGATGAGGACCGGGACCTGCAATGGATTCTTGAATGCGGCGAATATGTCCCTGAAGTACGTCGAGCCGGAGCTGAGCACCACTTTGTGGGCTTTAATGACGCGG